GTATAGTAGTAGTAGTAGTAGTAGTAGTAGTAGTAGTAGTAGTAGTAGTAGTAGTAGTAGTAGTATGTTGGGTTGACGCCGATGGCACATTCCTGAGCCAAAAGCGGTCCCCATTCCCGAATCTTGACTGCACCGCCCACCATGCACTCGCTGTACCCTTGGTGCTTGCGACTGACCCGTGTTGCAGACTGGCGAGCCGCCCTCAAGCGTGACATGGATAGGATCAGCTCTCGAGCTTAAACAAACAATGGGCGCAGGTGCCGCGTTCGTTCAGGTCGGGCACGTCCCCCTACAGGGGGATGTTGGACGAAACACTAATACAACAACAACAACAACAACAACAACAACAACAACAACAACAACAACAACAACAACAACGACAACAACAACAACAACAACAACAACAAAACAAAACAACAACCAAAAAATGCCCGAAACATTGTTCCCAGCCGTTTTTTTTATTATGTTTGAATATTCCTCCTGAGCAGGGACATGCCCAACTTAAGCGTGCGTCCCGATGTGGCGGCGCGCGCACAGGGGTAGAGGGAGGGAAGCAAAGGCTTCTTAGAAGGAGGCTGCTTCTTAGAAGGCGCCCACCCTCGGAGGGCCCCAGGGAGGCCCAACATGGCAAGAGAGCGCTCTCGGCCAGGCGCAGCTACCGGAGGGCACCCCGGGGCTGGACCGTCAGGAGCCCGCGAAAACATAGGATGAACCCGGCGTGACCCCGATGAGGCGAGCGCTTCCTTAGCGGCGTTGCTTGGCACAGTCTGGCGTTGCGTTGCTTTGCTTGGCAGCGCATCAGCTCGCATTGCTTCGCGTAGCTCTGCATTGCTTGGCGTTGCTTGCAATTGCTTGGTTTTGCTTGGCATTGCTTAGCATTGCTCAGTATTGTTTGAAACTGCTCGGCATCGCAAAAGAAACAAAACCGAGCAAGCCCGACAAACGCCACTGTAAAGAAACAAGGCTGGGGAACCTCGAAGAACAAGCACTGCAAACAAACGAAACCCAAAAAAGACGCTTGGTCTGCAGCGCTGGCGGACGCGAGCGCGTCTGCAGGCCGGCGGGGCGCGCCGGGCTAGGGCACTCGAGTGCGGCCGAAAAAGAAGAGGGCGGCCGCGGACGCAG